TGAAATGTAAGCTAAAACTCTCTAAAAAATCAGCATTGCTGTTCGGCTTTTTATTTATCCATTTGTTGATTCACTTGAAGAGCAAGTAATGCAACCAAGTGATCAGTTTGATATCTTTTGTGATACACCGTCATATTTACATTATTAGTTCAGTACGAATGATTTGCTTTGGTACCTGGTCAAACTTAAGCTCTCCTCTGTCTGCAGCAAACTCGCAGGCAGCAGCTTCTCCCCCTCGCTCACATGGGTGCTGTGCTCAGTCGCCTAGTGCTTGAGCTCGGATCATACCAAAATTAGGGGGAATTTACGACGGTGCGCTCTGTGCTTCGCGTGTTGTTTTTGTTTTATACAGTTGTCAGTCAGGCATCTAACTAACAAATTACACTCCAAAAGACCCCATGCTTCTGAAAAAATGACCCGGGCTTAAGCCCAGTAGGCCACCCCCCCGCTCCGCTGATGGTTGACTCCAAATTTCCTGAACACTATGTCGATTTGAGAACGCAAGACCGAAACAGCGAGACCAAGACCGAGACCAAGACAAAAGTCCGTCGAGACCGAGACCAAGACAAAAGTCCGTCAAGACCAAGACGAGACCAAGATCACGTAAAAGTGGTCTCGAGACCGGTCTCGAGAGCGGTAGCAGTCCCAGTAACAAAAAAACGTGTTGGCAGCCCAAACTTGATGAAATGACTGGCTTCAGGACCAAAATTAATAAGTCAGCATTGGACAAACTGATATATTCTCTCACAAAATTGATTGCTCTGGACTGTAGACTAGCGGTGGGCAGATCAATCCAAATATTGATTCTATCGATACCAAGTCGTTATCGGTTCGATACAAGCCTGGTGAGATCTATTCTTTACTTTCAGTTCCGCTCTTGTTTGCAATGCTGTGCTTGCAGCAAAGAGAAAAGAGCCAGGTCGCCAGACTCGACGCTTGTGTTTAGGTGTTGCGCTGTCAGGTCACGTGACTTAGACGCTTTGAGGGTTGTTAAGTTGTTTACATATTATATTTTCAGTAGTTGTTTTTGTTGTTGAGAGTTTTTATTGTAATTTTTGTAATATAGTTTCTCAACAGTACTTGTTTGTTATAATTTGTTTACTGATTTGATAACTTTAAACCACCACGGCAGACCCAATGATAATCACGCGGTAGCTGTAACAGTACATTAAATGGCTGCAGCTCTCCCGCTGCCAGCTGTGCACATCACCACCAACAAAAACAACACAAGCAGAGCACAGGTTTCAAGCTGGCGAGGCGTGATTGTAGATGCCGTGCAGGCATAGCTGGAGTGCCAATTGTGCATACCGGGCATTTGCCCGGTGGGCCGATGGTGATTTTTCGTTTTTATGGGCCGATGATTTTTTTTTGTAACGGCATGAACAATGAAAGGTGGTGGATTGACCAGATGCTGGCAGATGTGTAAAAATAACTCAGGTGTTTGGTGGTGGCTGTGGCGGAGCTTCTACTGAGGCCAGCAGGTGGATGAGGGAAAGGGGAGGCAGGAGGAGCAGAGACCCGAGGAGGCCACCGGTCCGAGTGTCAGGTGAACTGAACTTCAGGTAAGAAGTTGTGACCTGCAGTCTATCTGAGTCAGATATAAACCAAGTTTAGTTTATTTTCGTTGTGCTGACTTTTTACAGTCAGTTACAATAACAATATAAATAAAGTAACTGTATTCTAAATACCACCTATTTAAACTGTAACTGTAACGGAATACAGTTACTCATATTTTGTATTTTAAATACGTACATGTACATGTATTCCGTTACTCCCCAACACTGGTAGAGTTGCTGTAAAAAATGTAATTGTGTCACGGTTCTGGGTCCGTCGGACCCAGTAGTTTGAGTTTTATTATGTTTTGGTTTTAGTTTGCATCAGGGATTGTTTTCTTGTTCTCTTGTAGTGTTGATTATGATGATGTTTATTATTTGAGTTTCATGTTTCTGTGGTGTTTAGGATTTGTTCTTCAGTTGTGTCTGCTTAGTATTTGTCTAGCTCCATGTGCCATTTTCTGTCTGTCTCTCTATGTCGAGTTTGTGTCTTAGTGTGATGGTTGCTTGTTCCTGTTTTATTGTGATGGTCTGCGTCTCATGTGAGTGTGTTCAGTTTTACCTTTGTCTCGTCTTGTTGATTATTCCCAGCTGTGTCCACCACCTGTGTGTAATTCCCCTGTGATTCTCTGTGTATTTAAGTCATGTCTGCCGTCATTGTAGTTGCTGGTCCGTCTGTGTATTCCACCCTGCGTCATCTGTGTGTTTCCCTGCTGTCAACCGCCAAGTGTTTCTGCTCATGTTCAGGTTCGTGTTCTGTAGTTAGTTTGTTCCCAGTCTAGTTAGTCATAGCTCCCTTTGCCGTTTGTATTTACTTTCATGCTCAATAAACCACCTTCACACCTTCACGACTGCCTGCGTTTGGATCCTCCTTCATTGCCTCCACACGGCTCACCTCACTCGCCGTGACAAATTGTCCCGCATTCAGAGAAAATATTACGCGTTTTGTATTGAGCCGCAAAGGAACAGTTTGTCCCGGACTTCAGCTACAATGAAAAAGACACAAAGCTGGAGTTATTCTGTCTTTGCTGCACAGCTGCCTCTTCTTCTCTCATTCTCTCCCCTCCCTCTCCTGTTGCTACTTCAGTCATGAAACTGATCAATGATCAGCTGATCGGCTTTTCTCTCTTGTTTATCGCCCACTTTGCGCCAGAAACAGGAAACCAGCGGATGTCGCGCTAAACAACAGCAGCACATTTAAGCTTGATCAGCTGTTGTTAGAATTTATTTAATATTACTTTCTAGTATCAGCTGATGTTTGCTGGAGCCACAGCTGTAAAGCTGCTGGTCATGATATCGGTTTGGATATGTGGTGAGAGGGAAACATGAAGATGAAACCAGGAGATGTCCTTACTGAATCATCAGAGCTGAACAGGTGATGGAGAAACAGGTTTACCTTTTAGGTGACATGAATGAGTTGAAAGGAAGTTATGAACTGATTCTGAGAGACAAATAACACCAGGATCCTTTTCTAATTTCATAAAATGTTATTCAGCTGCATTCCTACAAGAGGGAGAAACTCTTTCAATCTTTCAACAGCTGCAGTAACTGTTTAAAGTACAAGACAGAGTCAGCTGGATTCTACTTTTAACAGTTTACTGGCATTTAAAATTCTGCTTTTCTTTGTTAGTTTAGAATTATAATTATTATTATTGGTAGCAGTTGTAGTATTTCAATCAAAACTGAAGAATAAAGGATGCAAAATTCATTATAAACCAAATAACTTCTTCTGGCTATAGTGGACGCATCTTAATGAAAAAATATGAGTATATAGGGAGTGCAGAATTATTAGGCAAGTTGTATTTTTGAGGAATAATTTTATTATTGAACAACAACCATGTTCTCAATGAACCCAAAAAACTCATTAATATCAAAGCTGAATGTTTTTGGAAGTAGTTTTTAGTTTGTTTTTAGTTTTAGCTATTTTAGGGGATATCTGTGTGTGCAGGTGACTATTACTGTGCATAATTATTAGGCAACTTAACAAAAAACAAATATATACCCATTTCAATCATTTATTTTTACCAGTGACACCAATATAACATCTCCACATTCACAAATATACATTTCTGGCATTCAAAAACAAAACAAAAACAAATCAGCGACCAATATAGCCACCTTTCTTTGCAAGGACACTCAAAAGCCTGCCATCCATGGATTCTGTCAGTGTTTTGATCTGTTCACCATCAACATTGCGTGCAGCAGCAACCACAGCCTCCCAGACACTGTTCAGAGAGGTGTACTGTTTTCCCTCCTTGTAAATCTCACATTTGATGATGGACCACAGGTTCTCAATGGGGTTCAGATCAGGTGAACAAGGAGGCCATGTCATTAGTTTTTCTTCTTTTATACCCTTTCTTGCCAGCCACGCTGTGGAGTACTTGGACGCGTGTGATGGAGCATTGTCCTGCATGAAAATCATGTTTTTCTTGAAGGATGCAGACTTCTTCCTGTACCACTGCTTGAAGAAGGTGTCTTCCAGAAACTGGCAGTAGGACTGGGAGTTGAGCTTGACTCCATCCTCAACTCGAAAAGGCCCCACAAGCTCATCTTTGATGATACCAGACCAAACCAGTACTCCACCTCCACCTTGCTGGGGTCTGAGTCGGACTGGAGCTCTCTGCCCTTTACCAATCCAGCCACGGGCCCATCCATCTGGCCCATCAAGACTCACTCTCATTTCATCAGTCCATAAAACCTTAGAAAAACCAGTCTTGAGATATTTCTTGGCCCAGTCTTGACGTTTCAGCTTGTGTGTCTTGTTCAGTGGTGGTCGTCTTTCAGCCTTTCTTACCTTGGCCATGTCTCTGAGTATTGCACACCTTGTGCTTTTGGGCACTCCAGTGATGTTGCAGCTCTGAAATATGGCCAAACTGGTGGCAAGTGGCATCTTGGCAGCTGCACGCTTGACCTTTCTCAGTTCATGGGCAGTTATTTTGCACCTTGGTTTTTCCACACGCTTCTTGCGACCCTGTTGACTATTTTGAATGAAACGCTTGATTGTTCGATGATCACGCTTCAGAAGCTTTGCAATTTTGAGACTGCTGCATCCCTCTGCAAGATATCTCACTATTCTGAGCCTGTCAAGTCCTTCTTTTGACCCATTTTGCCAAAGGAAAGGAAGTTGCCTAATAATTATGCACACCTGATATAGGGTGTTGATGTCATTAGACCACACCCCTTCTCATTACAGAGATGCACATCACCTAATATGCTTAATTGGTAGTAGGCTTTCGAGCCTATACAGCTTGGAGTAAGACATCATGCATGAAGGGGATGATGTGGACAAAATACTCATTTGCCTAATAATTCTGCACTCCCTGTATATGTAAAAAAACGTTAATTTTACTTAATGTACTGCATTAAGTAAAATTAAAACACAGTGTATACTCTGGTGCTGATATCTTTTTTTCCTCTTAACCATTTTGTGGATCTCATGTCTTAAAGGTGTCACACTGTGGGATGCTAAAACTCTGCAGGAGAAGTCAGTGGAGAAAAATCAGCACAGCAGTGAGTTTGAAGTCAGTAAGTCTGATTCCACTAAAACAAAATCCTCTCTGCTGGATGTTAATGCTTCACTAAAGGCCAGTTTCTTTGGTGGACTCATTGAAGTTGGAGGATCAGCCAAGTATCTGAATGATAACAAGAAATCTCACCATCAGAGTCGAGTCACACTTCAGTACAAAGCTACCACCAAATTCAAACAGCTGATGTTGACTCCTGATGAAACCAGGAACACTCAAGAAGCAGAAGATGTGAAGAATTTGGCGACACATGTAGTCACAGGAATCCTTTATGGAGCAAATGCTTTCTTTGTGTTTGACAGTGAGAAGTTAGATGATAGAAGCATTCAAGTCATCGAGGGCAGCATGCAAGCAGTGATAAAGAAGATCCCCTCATTTAACTTTGAGGGGAAAGTTGACATCAAGCTGAGTGATGAAGAAAAAGCTGTGACTGATAAATTCACCTGCAAGTTCTATGGAGACTTCATCCTTCAAAGCAACCCTGGAACATTTGAAGATGCAGTGAAGACATTCATCCAACTTCCAAAACTACTGGGAGAAAACAGAGAAAACTGTGTTCCACTGAAGGTCACACTGATGCCGCTGAAGACTTTAGATCCAGAAGCTCCTGAGAAACTGACTGAGATCAGCATTGTACTTGTTATAAAGGCTCAAGATGCTCTGGAGGACCTCTATAACCTGGACATAAGATGCAATGACCTGATGAACGACAGAGTGGGGAGAAGCTTTCCACAGATACAAGAACAATTGAGCAGATTCAAGAAGCTCTGTCAGTATTTCAGATCTTCACTCCAGGAAACAATGGCAGAGAAACTTCCCTCCATCAGGGCAGGTGAGGAAGATGAGCAGGAATTAGTGAAAGTGTTTGATGACAGAGACAAGTCACCGTTCAGTCAGAAGAGATTAACCAAGTGGATCAAAGAGGAAGAAAGAGAAGCTACCATCATCAAGTACTTTGTAGACGAGATGGAGGGAACAAAGATCATCTCAGATCAGTCTGAGCTGGACAGAGAGGTGTTTAAACCACGAATAGAGGAAGTTCTCTGCTTTGTTTTCACCTCCCTGAAATCCACTGACCCATATCTGCAGAACATGTCTGACTACTTGGAGAAAAAGAAACTGGAAGGTACTGATGGTAACACTCCACCTGCCCAGGACCAATGGTACCGCTCAGATGAAGTGATAAAGCAGATGACAGAAAAGGCCAACGTTGTCCATGACCTTGCCAAAGCTCTGAAGAATGACAACCGATTCTCTTTCCTAGTAGCAGCTATTGCAAATGACAAATACAAAGGAGGAAGTATCTACCACTACAGGAAGAACTTCCTGGTCACTGATGATTTCTCAAGACCTGATGTCACTGATGTGGAAAAGGTGACGGACAGAAGAGATCTGATCTGGTGTAAGTACTTTTACATAAATAAATCACATAAAGGATTTTACACCTGCAATAACTGATTTGGTTTCATTTTGTAACTTGGATATGTTATAAAATAAAAAACAAATTCACGTTCCACTGTAGTGGCATCATTAAGATGTGTATATGTAAATAAAATGTACAGCGTAAAGTAAAATCCAGATGGTAATGTCTGGTCGTGGCATTTCTAAGAACTTGTTTTTTTCTTTTTAATCAGTTTGTGTTAAAGGGTCATACTCTGGGATATGATAAAAGTCTCCAGATTTTGATTGTTTTGTTTTTTCACACTAAAGCTTAGAAGCAAGTTTTGCACTTCCGCACAATGTGGATTTTTTCTTTAAATACCTTTAGACTCAGTTTAGTTGTACACTGACTTTGTCACGGCCGGCGAGGTGAGCCGTGTGTAAATTATTCAAGGACCCAAGATGCAAGCACTAGTGATGTGAGTGGGCTTTTATTGAGGAGGAAGACGTGTAACAAAAGGCAAAGGATGGCGAGAACAGAACTGACTAAACCTAACTTGGAAAACTAAAAATAAAACAGACCTGAAACCTAGAGACACAAACGGATATGCAGGGAGACGTAGACAGGTGCAGGGGAACCACACAGGGCCTAACACTCAGCAGTAATCAACAGATGGGAGACAGGAGGGCAACATAGCTGGGAGAAATAAGAGCTGACGTGACAGGGGAAACATAAAATGAACACACTGACATCAGACACGGACCTTCAAAGTAAAACAGGAAACTCACAGACACAGAACCAGACAAGACACTGAACTTAACAGGCAGATTCAAGAGCAGACACAGTGACACCATGGACAGACAACTGAATGTCATGTCAAATTATGTTTTTATTGGGGAAATTTAACCAACCCCAATCAGGATTTTTCCCTTAAGTATTGTTATTCATCTTAAGGCATGAAAAAAGATTTTTGAACTTCATTTTATAAAACATGTACTTTTCAAAGAGGTTTCTTTTACTTGTCCACTTAGGTGGACAACATACATTTTGACTTACGAATTTAACAAATGAATAAATAATATAAACTGTGTAAAAACTATAACATAACAAATAAAAAAAAACAAAAACACCCAGCACCGACCACCGTTACCTTCACCCTCCACATCCTCTCGAGCTCTTCTCTGAGCCCTTGGTATTTCTCCAGCTTCTCGTGTTCCTTCTTCCTGATATTGCTGTCATTGGGAACCGCTACATCGATCACTACGGCCGTCTTCTGTTTGTCTACCACCACTATGTCCGGTTGGTTAGCCACCACCATTTTGTCCGTCTGTATCTGGAAGTCCCACAGGATCTTAGCTCGGTCATTCTTCATCACCCTTGTGGGCATCTCCCATTTTGACCTCGGACTTCCAGGTTATACTCGGCACAGATGTTCCTGTACACTATGCCGGCCACTTGGTTATGGCGTTCCATGTATGCCTTGCCTGCTAGCATCTTGCACCCTGCTGTTATGTGCTGGATTGTCTCTGGGGCATCTTTACACAGCCTGCACCTGGGGTCTTGCCTGGTGTGATAGACCCCAGCCTCTATGGATCTTGTGCTCAGAGCTTGTTCTTGTGCTGCCATGATTAGTGCCTCTGTGCTGTCTTTCAGTCCAGCTTTGTCCAGCCACTGGTAGGATTTCTGGATATCAGCCACCTCCTCTATCTGCCGGTGGTACATACCGTGCAGGGGCCTGTCCTTCCATGATGGTTCCTCGTCTCCCTCCTCTTTCTTGGGTTTCTGCTGCCTGAGGTATTCACTGAGCACTCTGTCAGTTGGGGCCATCTTCCCAATGTATTCTTGGATGTTCCTTGTCTCATCCTGGACAGTGGTGCTGACACTCACCAGTCCCCGGCCTCCTTCCTTCCACTTAGCGTACAGCCTCAGGGTGCTGGACTTGGGGTGAAACCCTCCATGCATGGTAAGGAGCTTTCTTGTCTTTATATCAGTGGCTTCTATCTCCTCCTTTGGCCAGCCTATTACCCCAGCAGGGTACCTGATCATGGGCAGGGCATAGGTGTTGATGGCCCGGATCTTGTTCTTACTGTTCAGCTGACTCCTCACGACTTGCCTGACCCTCTGCAGGTACTTGGTGGTTGCAGCTTTTCTAGTGGCCTCTTCATGGTTCCCATTCGCCTGCGGGATCCCCAGGTACTTGTAACTGTCCTCTATGTCTGCAATGTTGCCTTCTGGTAGTTCAATCCCCTCAGTTCTGACTACCTTCCCTCTCTTTGTTACCATCCGACTACACTTCTCCAGCCCCAACGACATTCCAATGTCATCGCTGTATATCCTGGTAGTGTGGATCAGTGAATTGATGTCTCGTTCACTCTTGGCATACAACTTGATGTCATCCATGTACAGGAGGTGGCTGACAACTGCTCCTCTCCGTAGTCGGTATCCGTAGCCAGTCTTGTTAATGATCTCACTGAGGGGATTCAGGCCTATGCAGAACAGCAGTGGGGACAGAGCATCTCCTTGGTAGATCCCGCACTTGATGGTGACTTGTGCTATGGGCTTGGAGTTGGCCTCTAGTGTTGTACGCCACATCCCCATTGAGTTCCTGATGAAGGCTCTCAGGGTCCTGTTGATCTTGTACAATTCTAGGCATTCCAGTATCCAGCTGTGGGGCATTGAGTCATAGGCCTTCTTGTAATCAATCTAGGCAGTGCACAGGTTGGTCAGTCTGGTCTTGCAGTCTCGGCTGACTGTTCTGTCTACCAGTAGCTGGTGTTTTGCGCCTCTGGTATTCTTGCTAATTCCTTTCTGTGCCGCGCTCATGTATTGACCCATGTGCCTGTTCATCTTAGCCGATATGATGCCTGACAGGAGCTTCCATGTAGTACTGAGGCAGGTTATTGGTCGGTAGTTGGATGGGACCGGTCCCTTCTTGGGGTCCTTGGGGATCAGGACCGTTCGACCTTCGGTTAGCCATTCCGGGTGTCTCTCGTTAACTAGCAGCTGGTTCATTTGTGCTGCCAGACGCTCGTGGAGTGCAGTCAGCTTCTTTAGCCAGTAGGCGTGAACCATGTCGGGCCCTGGTGCTGTCCAACTCTTCATACTGGAGACCCTTTCTTGAATATCTGCCACTGCGATGGTTACTAGACCCTGTTCAGGGAGGTCGCTATGGTCTGCCCTCAGATCCACTAGCCACTGAGCATTGCCGTTATGGGTTGCGTCCTTCTCCCATATGCTCTTCCAGTATTGCTCTGTCTCCAGCCTTGGTGGCGCTGTTCTCTTATTGTTCCCTTGCCACTGAGAGCACACCTTTGCTGGTTCTGTGGAGAACAGCTGGTTTATTCTCCTGCCTTCTATCTCTCTGGTGTACCTCCTCAAGCGGCTGGCCAAGGCTGTGAGTCTTTGCTTGGCTGTTTCCAAGGCCTCAGGTATGGACAGCTTGCTGTATTTCTTAGGCACCTTCCTCATCGCGCCTTTCTGCAACTCCGTTAGTTGGCTAACCTCCATCCGTGCTACTTTGATCTTGCCCTCTAGCCTCCTTCTCCATGGAGGGTACTGCCCCTTGTGGCTGTTCAACTTGTAGTCAAGCATCTCACTGCTGCCGTATTGTAGATCAGCTTGTTAGTGTCGGTAATCGTGGTTGTAGCTATTGTCTGTAGTGCTGCATTAACATCATCTAGCAGACCTTCTGAGGGTACTTCACGTAATCTTGGTAACCGGCTACGGGGGGTCCAGGTTTCAAGCTTGGCCATGATCCTGTTTTTCAGGTCAGTTCCTCTTGCACGCAACGATCCTTCTTCTATTGGCTATGTACCCAATCTCGGGTGGGGGTGATGATATCTCCCCCCTGACCTGGCGTCCTGACTCCTCCTTGCCGTAGCATTTATGTTGTACCTCGTCAATCTCTAGCTGTGAGAGCAGTCCCTTCTTTCGAATGTTGGAACACTGAGCTACTAGTTGTTTCGCCATCATTGTGGATGTTGGGTATCGAAGAATCCATAGGTCCCTCATCCTATTCATGTAGCCCCTTCCGCCAGGGTTACTTGCGTAGTAGCATTCCAACAACGCCCTGTTTTCATCTCTTAACCACCGATGCCTTCTTGTTCCAGTAGCCCACTTGTCGTCATATATATATATATATATATATATATATATATATATATATATATATATATATATATATATATATATATATATATTTAGAAATTTGAAATATATTTTATAAAAAAATAACAACATATATGTAACAATTGTCTGTGAAGGTTATCAGTCATCCAGGTCATGGTAGTCTAAAGAGAGAAAAGTGTCTGGACTTCTTTAAGTTGCTTGAAGAAATTTCCTCTCTTATCCGAGAAGCTTCCTCAGTTCTATTGCCAAATGGTAGAAAGTACCAGATTGAAGTCCTAGGGGAGTGTCCCCCAAGGGGTCATGAACCCCTGTTGATCCTCTACCTAATCACACGAGCCAAGGAGAACATCAAGTTCACCAGGGAAGACACAAAGGACTGTTTGCCTTTCCTGGACTGCGCTGTGCACATTGAAGAGAATGGCAACCTCAACATCGAAGTTTACCGGAAGCCCACACACACGGACCAGTACCTCCTCTTTGACTCCCATCACCCTCTGGAACACAAACTTGGAGTAATCAGGACCCTACACTACCGGGCAGAACATGTTCCCTCTAAGCCTGAAGGAAAAAAGAAAGAACACACAACAGGGGGTTCATGACCCCCTTGGGGGGCACTTCCCTACGACTTAAATCTGGGACTCTCCACCATTTGACCTTAGAACTAAAGAAGCTTCTTGAATGAGAGGTGAAACGTCCACAGGTGCTTCTCTTTCAAAGCTGTTTAGAATATGTCATAAATGCAACAAATATAACCTTGCCACTCACTGGCTGACCAGTGGGTGGCAGGGCATGGACAGACACACCAGTGTCCAATGTAGTGGTTTATTTGCAAGTATACCATCAACACTGCCACAAATACAAGAAAACAGCCTTTGAATAGCTGTCCACTGTAGTGACCACTATGCGTGAATCGGGATTCAAAGGCAAAATCCATAAAATAAGATTGTGATTTAGATCTGAAACGTGTTAAACACAGACTGTAGATCTGCAGTGGACAGATTAAGAAGGAATCAGTGACATCATCATGGATTGTAATTATGATCAGGTCTTGTTCTCTCCATCAGATGCCTGCGATCTCACCCTGGATCCAAACACAGCAAACTACAATGTCATTCTGTCTGAAGGAAACAAGAAGGCAACATACGGAGAGGCGCAGTCATATCCTGACCATCCTGAGAGATTCGATACTGTGCGTCAGGTTCTGTTTAAAGAGGCTCTAAATGGGCGCTGCTACTGGGAGATGGAGTGGAGCATAAAGAAAGGTTTAAATCCTGCTTCTGCTGTTTGCTACAAAACATTAGAGAGAATCGGGAACTATGATAACTGTGGCTTTGGATGTAATGACATGTCCTGGTGCTTTGGATTCCTTTGGGATTCAAAACCTACTTACTATGCACAACGTCAGCATCAGTACATAAACCTAATTCCCAGTCCAACTCCTGGCTGCTCTCGACTGGGAGTGTTTCTGGACTGGCCTTCAGGCACTCTGTCCTACTATGAAGTGTCAGCTGACAAGCTGAGACACATTCACACCTTCAAAACCAAATTCTCTGAGCCTGTTTACCCAGGATTCTACGTAAATGCAAATAGCCACATATCACTGCGTCTGTAATCCCAGGCTGTGCTTTATGAAGCAGGGTCAACATATCCAGGATATCTTTCTTTTTTCCGCTTGAACTTACCCTAAAGCTATCAATGCTATAAGTGATTCAGGGTTTATCAATTTAGCCTGAGTGTGTTCACATGAAACAAGGAGCGTTAGCAACATCTGACCAATCACAAACATGCACAGGTGTACTGCAGCAGAGCAGTTTTGATATTTAGATGTGTGTAGCTTAAACTGCTGTTTAATAGCTTGACAGTAATGGATCAATATAATGTTACGTTTCGGTGTTGTCAGTGTTTTGTTTTTGCGTGACTGTCATGTATTTCCTGCTTTACTTTGAAAGTCTGTGTTATCTTAGTGTGTTCAATTTACGTTTCCTTGTCTCGTCAGGTCTAATTTGCCCCAGCTGTGTTTCCCTCTTGTGGTACATTCCCTGATTGCTCCTTCTATGTATTTAAGCCTTGTGTTTCAGTATGTCATGGTCGCGATCTCCCCCGTGTTGTAAATAAAAGGTTTGTTGTAAATAGCTGTGAATGGGTTTGTTGGTATTTTCGTCATGGGATATTTTCGTTTTGGGATTTTGGTGGAGAGCCTTAGTGGGGTTTTTTTTCGTGTGTTTTCTCCTTATTTTTATTTTCCTGCGTTGCACGCCGGTTGCCTAGGCCGGGGTGTAACATATGGGGGCTCGTCCGGGATCCGCTGGAGGGTCCGTGGGACCGCCCCAGCCTTCGTCGTCTGCTGGAGGGTCCGTGGGACCGCTCCAGCCTCCATCCGCCTTCGCTGGAGGGTCCGTGGGACCACTCCAGCCTTCATCCGCCTTCGCTGGAGGGTCCGTGGGACCGCTCCAGCCTCCATCAGCTTCATCCGCCTTCGCTGGAGGGTCCGTGGGACCGCTCCAGCCTTCATCCGCCTTCGCTGGAGGGTCCGAGGGGGGGACCGCTCCAGCCTCCATCAGTTTCATCTGCCTCCGCTGGAGGGTCCGTGGGACCGCTTCAGTCTTCATCTGCCTTCGCTGGGGGTCCGAGGGACCGCCCCAGCCTCCATCCGCCTTCGCTGGAGGGTCCGTGGTACCGCTCCTTCGTTTGTCTTCGCTGGAGGATCCGAGGGACCGCTCCAGCCTTCTGCAGCTGGTGGGCTGCGTGTCCGTGTTTGCAGCTGGTGGGCTGCATGTCCGTGTTTGCGGCTAGTGAGCTGCATGTCTGTTTTTGCAGCTAGTGGGCTGCTCGTTTGTCTTCGCTGGAGGATCCGAGGGACGCTCCAGCCTTCTGCAGCTGGTGGGCTGCGTGTCCGTGTTTGCAGCTGGTGGGCTGCATGTCCGTGTTTGCGGCTGGTGGGCTGCATGTCTGTTTTTGCAGCTAGTGGGCTGCTCGTTTGTCTTTGCTGGGGGATCCGAGGGACCGCTCCAGCCTTTCGTCTGTCTTCGCTGGGGGATCCGAGGGACCGCTCCAGCCTTTCGTCTGTCTTCCCTGGAGGGTCCGTGGGACCGCTCCAGCCTTCATCCGCCTGCTGGAGGGTCAGTGGGACCGCTCCAGCCTTCATCAGCTTCGTCTGCCTTCGCTTCAGCCGCCCGTCTCCGCTGGAGGGTCCGAGGGACCGCTCCAGCCTTCATCCGCCTTCGCTGGAGGGTCCGAGGGGCCGCTCCAGCCTTCGTCATCTGCTGGAGGGTCCGTGGGACCGCTCCAGCCTTCATCGGCTTCGTCTGTCTGAATCAAACTTTTCACTTGGGGTTACATGTTTGATTTTTGGGTGGGGGAAATGTTACGTTTCGGTGTTGTCAGTGTTTTGTTTTTGCGTGACTGTCATGTATTTCCTGCTTTACTTTGAAAGTCTGTGTTATCTTAGTGTGTTCAATTTACGTTTCCTTGTCTCGTCAGGTCTAATTTGCCCCAGCTGTGTTTCCCTCTTGTGGTACATTCCCTGATTGCTCCTTCTATGTATTTAAGCCTTGTGTTTCAGTATGTCATGGTCGCGATCTCCCCCGTGTTGTAAATAAAAGGTTTGTTGTAAATAGCTGTGAATGGGTTTGTTGGTATTTTCGTCATGGGATATTTTCGTTTTGGGATTTTGGTGGAGAGCCTTAGTGGGGGTTTTTTTCGTGTGTTTTCTCCTTATTTTTATTTTCCTGCGTTGCACGCCGGTTGCCTAGGCCGGGGTGTAACAATAAAAACAGAATTTTACAAACAGCATATACATGCAAAGTTCCAAAAGTATGAATATGTTTTTTCCATATAATAATGCTGTAGAACACTATAGTACTTTTTTTTTTTGCCTCTGCTTGTTTGTCGAAACCTTTCTGCCTCTTTTTGCCATTTGTGCCCTCATTTATCGTGCAGTTTAATCCTGTTAAACCTCTTGATGATTTCATGAGATTTCAATTTTGCTTTGTTATATTCTTCCAGACAACGGGAAATCAAAATTCAGTTAATCTGACTTGTCAGAAATTGATTACCGTATTTTCACGACCATAAGACGCACTGTGCTAAAAGGCGCAGTCTCAGTTATGTGTGCCATTACTGTATTTAACACACACATAAGGCGCACTGGCGCATACAAGTACCATATGCGTATTTAAAAATAAAGCGGGAGCAAACCTGAGTTCGGTACCTTACTCACATTTTTATTACCAGTAATCGTCATCATCAACAACACACAAGCATACAAGTGTGCATATTTAAAAATAAAGCAGGAGCAAAACAAAGTTTGGTACTCACATTTTTATCATCAATCAAACCCATCGAAGTCCTCATCCTCTGTGTCTGAATCGAACAGCTGCGCTAAATCTCCATCAAACATTCCAGGTTCACTTTCTTCACTGTCAGAGTCACTTTCCGTGCCGTGCGGCTCCTCGGAAATGATGCCGGCTTTTGCGAAAGCTCGAACAACAGTGCCAGCAGCCATGTTAGCCCAAGCATCTACAATCCATTGGCAAATTGTGGCGTAACTCGCCCGGCGCTGCCTTCCACTCTTGGTGAAACTGTGGTCTCCATCGGTCATCCATCGCTGGATGTGTTTGTCGCCGATGTGTTTGCTGCAGTAGGAGCGGAAGATGGCCAGCTTTTCCTTATAATCCGCTGGAAGTTGCTGCGCTACCGTAGTCCTGGTCCGGATGGAAAAATGGCACAGTTTCATAAAAAGTGAAAGTGAAACTGCTTTTAGCCGAATGGTGACCGTCGAAACGCTTCTCCGCTCGTTCTTTGCTCGATGATCGCCTTATGTCCGTGGAAACTCAGCTGCGTCTTCTTGACCTGTCGGAGCTTGTTTTCCAGCTTCCTCCACTTGCGAACCATCGATTCATTAATCTTAAATTCTCTCGCCGCTGCTCGATTTCCATGTTCCTCCGCGTAGCTGATGGCCTTCAGTTTAAACTGTGCTTCGTAAGCGTGTCTCTTTGCCATTTTCAGGGTTGTTAAAACAACGATGTCCTGCATAACGCACATACCTGTTCTTTTATACAGGTATGTGCAATAAAGTCAACGCACACACTTCACCCTTTAGCGTTCTCATGGTGTTCTCTACTACGTCCTCCTTACAACACAAAGGGCGCACTGCGCTATAGGGCGCGCCGTACTTTTTGAAGAAAATCTAAGACTTTTAAGTGCGCCTTATGGTTGTGAAAATACGGTACTGATGTGTCTTAATATATCGGATTTGTACTATTTTTTTTTAAACTTTATTAGGTGCCTGCGAGTACCAGTCTAACATACAATACGTAACTGTGTGTGGGGGTTAAAGTGTGAAACACATATGTGATACTATCCTATGTGCATATCACTAAGGGACACAAAAGTGATATTATTAAAACATGTGATCAATGCATAAAATAAAGAAATTTCCATCATATTTCAACCCATTTGTGTCATGTTTTGGCTGTGTGCAGGCAGGAATTGGACCCAAACGCAAACTAACTGGAAACAGGACTGAACTCAAAATGGCAGCTTTTATTGGTGAACAGAAAACGCTACAAAACCTAAACTGGGAAGAACTCAACAAAACAAACACAGGGAGAAACACACAGCATGAGGGAGATCACTACACTCACTCAGAGAAACACAGGGCTTAAATACACTGGGAAATAATGAGGGGAATGGGACACAGAAGACCCAAGGGAAGCGAAACTCAGTACATTCACATAGGACACAGACCTTCAAAGTAAAACAGGAAATTTAACACAGACACGGACTTTACAAGGGGAGACAGCGCAACTAAGAAACACAGAGACCAACAAAAAGGAGACACAGAGGGTGGCTACTAAATACTCAGAAAACTAAACAGAATACAAGAAACCCAAACTAAGACACTAGACTGTAGAATAAACTGGGGCAACAAAGACAACTAAGATCATAAAACAAAAACCCTGAGACACAAGAAACTCAACACTGGGTCACCGACCCAGGACCATGACAATTTGCCTGTAAATCAAATCGAAACATTAAATACAAAAAGAATTTTCTAACAACATCAACAACATTGCATCCTCAGAGATTTCACTATGTGCGTCATTCTGAGGTGCCAACCTAAACAACACAGTCAACATTTGTAGGTCTTTATGCACCGTTACCACTTTCATCATCACTGTTCTCATCACCTATCATCAGTGTCATCCTCAGCCTGTAATAAGCGTAACTGCAGATTATTGGCTTCGTCTTCTTTTGTCAGCATGGTTGTGATTAACCTACTCACTAAGCTGTGGAGGCATTGGATAAAACAACCACAGCATCTGAGTATGGACATCAACAGAGACACTATTATGGCTTTATACTTACCAAAATTACTACTAAACCATTCCTCTAGGGGATTGTGTATGCCAGAGTCCTCTGCCATTTGGGAGGACAGTAAAGCAAGTGTGTAAGTCCATCTCTGAATGTTTGTAAAGCATTCCCGCATTAAGCTTAACAACCGATATATGGAGCGGCTGCCTCTTCTTGCTGCTATTTCACTCATGAAACTGATCAATGATCAGCTGATCCACTTTTCTGTCGTGAGTCCGTCTCTCTTGTTTATTTTTG